GGAAAGCAATAAACAACTTGAACTACATGTTTGAGTAGAATTCTTCTCAGTTTCCTAGGTAGGACCCTGACCAAGCAATAGCAACCCAGTCATCCTTACCACTTGCTACGCATATATAATTATCAGCTACAAATCTAGATCAAATATAGCAATTGATTTTTTGCAGAAGACTGCAACAAAAAAGCCAGCAATATTTGAGCCACTAGATCATTCAAATATTCGAATAGTTGAATATTCGCGGGTATGATTACTCGAATATTCGAATAATCGATCGACCAACCCCATTTATTCGGATAACTCGACTTTTGAAATGTGGCATTACTTGAATATTTCAATTCGAATGATCTGAAAATCAAATGATATTCGTTTGTTCGAATAATTTTCAAAAACCGATTATTCGATATTCATTCGTTCTATGAAATTTTTCGGTCGTTTCAATTAAAGTATTCAAGCCATGCTGAAGGGCATAAAATGCTGATACTGAAATCTGCCTTCCTTATCTGCAGAGCGTTTATGAACGAGGAGTTATGAGCGCTTATTGGAGTAAAAAGTAAATGTGCAAGCAGGACAAAAATAACCATAGTACTTTCTCTAGCTTTTCAATGGAGCAGGGATAATAATCAAGCATTTTATTAGAAAAATACAATAAAAAAATAAGTTACACTTGGTTGGATTATTAGAAGGCTAATAAGATTTTAGCTACTCATTTTATCTAAAAATGCACACTCAATTTTTCGCACCAACCAAAAACGCTCATAACTCGTCGTCCATAAAATTTCTGCAGGTAAGGAAAGCAGGTTTGAAATCAGTGTTGTATGCCAATGTGGCATACATCCCATTTAAGAAGGCCATTTGAACTGAACAAGCTTCCCTTGTGAGATACTGTAGCGATCATGATTTCACTAGAAGAGAGATTTCAGCCCAAACTCATGTTGGGCACTGCTTCATACTGCCGATAAAAATCCAAGTTCAATCCGTAGAAGCCCTGCGAACGCATCGGCAGAAACCGCGCTCACCGCTGAACGTAGCCAGTCTAAGCGCTAAATAATACTTCGGTTACCTAAAGACATCATGCATGTCACCGAAATACGGTACTCGTTTTGGGTCAGAATTGTAGATTTACATTAGGTCGTTCCGAAATTCAGTTTTTTTGCAGTTTTTCAGTAATTTTGAGGCACTCAAAGCGAAGATAGACAGGCGCTCTAGACAGTATCTGAAGGAAAACATCTTTTTTCTAGCAGCATTGTTTTAAGTCCACGGTGGCTTGAATATTCATCAGATGTTGCTGGTTTTCATCACTACTTAGAAAAGTTTTCCTAACTCTTCACTTTTGCGAAGTTGTAAGATCATAAACTCTTCAAATATCAGTTCTTTGGAATAGGAACTTCCAAAAATCGACCCTGATTGAACACTATTTTTACAAAGCATATAAACTTGTTTCGAAATATCAAATTTCAAGTCTCAGGTACAGCCGCGGATCTATTTTTAAATACGTGTATGAGTTTGTCTTCGAAAATCTAACGAGTCAGGAAGAAGAGCACACAGCAGAAAGAAAGTTGCATCAAGTGGCATTCTGGTTTCTGGGTTGGAGATGATATGATGATTTACGACCATCAATGGATTTGCAAAAACATCCACAATTTTTTTGCAATGAAAGAGAAATATTTTCCACATTGAACACTGTTTAGAACATTTGTCTAGCATTATTTGAAGTGATTCAAGGATAAGTCTGAAGAATTGCACGAAGCTTCAGACCAGCACAATATTATGAAAATCGTAAGCAATGATGACTGACTGTACTGGCATTACAAAATATTTCAGTAGTTTGCATTTTGCTTCCACGTTTTTTTCAATCCAACCGGCGTGTATACGCCCGCTTCTGTTTCGCGGGCACATTACAGGAGATACACTTCATTGAAAGTGTATAACGTAAGCAAGCGAAGTTATAAAAAGGATTATGGCCAAAACTTTTGAATCTCTCTCTTTCACCTCATCGCGCTTCAAACGTTTTATCACGCTCAAAAAGTGCTCGAAGGCGTTGGCGATTTTCTGTTTGTAGAGAGTGCGTATGGACAGTTTCAATGACGGTGTCATGTCACAGCTCCAAGGCTTGGGTCCGCTTTGCTATGGCATTGCGTCGCGTGTGCGAATGTACCCCTGCTTTTCTCAAGCCTACGCACTCAGAGGCGAGCATGAGATAATGTTTGGAAGATGCATTCGCGAACGAACAAGGTCGAAGGAGGTGGCCGAAAGCGTCCGAGCTAGCTATGACAAACAGTACAGAAATACATTCAAGACATCCTATTATATATGCTCCAGCCTTTCTCCTCTACTTACCCCCCCCCCCCCGCCCTCCTCCTACGGAAAAATGGAGCTTACCGTGATATAACTTTTGCTGTATAGTCCTATGCAGCACCAAAGGCTGCATAGCAAACTTGACAAGCTACAGGGCCCACAGGTGGTGACCAAAGCGGCAGATGCATGCATCGCGCACGAATTCACAGCAACTAAAGTTTTTTTTTTCACTCTTCGTTTATCTCTAAACCTCACTTTGCAATGAAGCCACTTTTATGTGCCGGCTATAACTTTTGGGTGATTACGCCTAGCAACAGACACGTTGATTTTTTTGAAAACCCTATACTTTTATTTGCACCATAACCCTATGAATCCAACATCGCAACGGATACTAGATCAAAGATTATGGGCTGACTTATTTAGCATATGGGTATGCGAGGCTGAAAGTCTTGGGCCGATTTTAGCAAAATTATGGAACAGCTACCTTCATAATGGCGGATGGACGCTTGATGGGGATCCATGGAAGGAAAGCACAGGGTGAAGCAATACAGTGCCGGCCAAAACTATAATTCCACCCTGAAAACTGCCGTAACTCATCTGCTTTTCAACGAATTGATCTGAAATTTGGTACAGCTGTGTGTTTAACAGGTCAACATCAGTAACCGGAACGAATCCCGTTTTTGTTTGATTATTCAGGAAAAAATCAAAAATTTCGAAAAGAAGCAGGCTTGAAGGTTGGCCAAAACTATAATTCCACCTAAGGTTTCTGTCCACTAAAGTAATTTTCACCTTCCAAAGTATTTTGTGCATATACATAATCGAAAGTCAAAACAGTCAGCTCACAGCTTCAGTCCAGCTGTGTCAAACGTTTATAAGAAACGTTTATCTGCTTTTTTTAGCTCAAAAATAATTTCATGCGTATTTTGTTCCCGAAAATGTGTTTTTCTGGGTGATTTCGCAGTTTTTTGGCTGGTTTGGAAGCTGTAGGGTTTTATTTATCTTATAAATGCTTAGCGAAGTAAAAACTAGATAAGAATCGGAGTTTTCATATTTAAAGCGCAACCGACATAGAGCTAACCGCAGGCCTGCGCTCAATTTTATGCCCTCAAACTCCTTCTGCAATGTTCTTATGAGCATGAAGTAGAGTAATAACACTGTTTATACGTGTGAGAGTCCGAATGCAGTGGTTGCAGATTTCCGCAGGTCTTAGCATGCAGGCTAATTGAGGAATTCATCTTGCAAAAACTGATTTGCAAAAAGCCTTGAACTAATTCTTGGCTCTGATCGTAATGCTCACATGAGTCACAAGGCATCATACAATGCAGGGTGTTTTCACTATCTAGATGCTAAATAGTGGCAAAAAATCAGGAAAAGTACCACTTGGTAAGTATTTTGGGATTACCTAAATATTATCATTGAACCGCGAAGATTTATGCTTTGAAAACGAAGGAAAATGTGACTTGGCCAACAATCGCAAGCATAGTGTAATAACTTCTTTTTATGCAGACGATGCTTTACATCGTTTTGAGCTTACAAAAATAACATAAACTAATTTTGGAGGCAAAAATTTGAGCGCAGGCTTGCTGTAAGATCTACGTCGGGTGCGCTTTAAATATGAAAACTCCGGTTTTTTTCTAGTTCTCACTCCGCTAAGCATCTATAAAATAGATGCAGTCCTATCGCTTCCGAACCAGTCAAAAAAAACTGCGAATTTACCCATAAAAACATATTACGGGAACGAAATACACATGAAAGTATTTTCAAGCGAAAAAAAGCAGATAAACGTTTATTTTGAAAATATGACACAGCTGAACTAAAGCGATTGTTTCGACTTTTGATTATGTATATGCACAAAATACTTTAAAAGCCGAGAATTATTTTAGTGGACAGAAACCTTAGGTGGAATTATAGTTTTGGCCAACCTTCCAGCCTGCTTTTTTCGGAATTTTGATTTTTTCCTGAATAATCAAGCAAAAACGGAATCCGTTCTGGTTACTGATGGTAGCCCGTTAAACACACAACTGTACCAAATTTCAGATCAATTCGTTGAGAAGCAGATGAGTTACGGCAGTTTTCAGGGTGGAATTATAGTTTTGGCCAGCACTGTATTACAGAAGCCGGGTGTTTTTGGGCTAATCAGCAATACTCTCACGCTGGACATTCAATTCAGTACATAGCGCATACAAATGGCTTGCCACACAATAATCAACTACCGTCTTATTTTTGTGACAGGTCCCCCTATGCCGTGCCGGCTTGGGATTTTGTGATTTTCAATGTAAAACTTTGGGTAAAGTTTTCTCACGACTACTACATTCGCAAAATGAGCAAATATTGGCAGGCGCCATTATAAAAATTGGAAAGTGGCACCTTACTATTCAGAAAGCGGTAAAATGACATCTAAGTTTGTGAGAAAAGTAACATTGTTTTTATTTCACTTTTCAAGTTACTGAAGGTTCGAGAGGGCTATAGGTTTTGTGATGGGTTATAGTTTCTAAGGGTTATATGTAGGTTCTACAATATTTACTTGTGTCCACAATGTGTAATGCTTTGACATCTTTTCGCAGCTTGTTACTCATCATGTGCAATAAACCAGTCACATAACATCACTTACTCCTCATTCAGACCACTAAAGGCGAAAAAGCTACACTGTTACTAAGCAAAATGTCAATGAAGTCACTCGATTCACACTCAATGATGTCAAAGTTTTATTGCTCATCGTCAGGAGCGCCTCCTTTTACAAAATAACAGAGAGCACGTGATTTCGGTTCTCCTTTAGCAGGTTCTGGTAAATCTTTATTACCGCATCCAAACCAGCCCACCTCGCTTGAGTCAGGCATAATCTGAACATTATTTTGATTGCAAGAGGCCCTTTCACGTACTTCATGGCATAAGCCAGATTCGTCAACTTTATCCGCTCCGAAACCGAAAAGCGATGCAATGTCGTTCTGTTTTAAGGCGAATGAAGCGGATGAAGCGTATGAAGTATATACTGGGCGCAAAAATATGACGCGTGTCTAACATAAGTAAGGTGTGTGTCAGTCTAAGGTAATGTCTATGAATAAAGTAGTGGTACATCGACTTTATGATTAGATGCGCAATTCTTCAAAGGCTGAAGAAGTTACGTGGTTGTCGCATCTTCGTGACATAAAGCTGACGATATGTAACACTGTGATTTAGCCACATACACCTAATTTTATTTCTCTCTTACATGAATTAGCAACTTCATTCACATGTCAGCAAGATTTTTGTAAGAGAATGCAAAATTGCCCAAATCTTACCTTGGATGCAAGCTGTTCAGCTCGCTTGTGCATTTTTCTAGCAAGCGATCTCTCTTTGCTATTCTTTCTCCTGTAATATTGCAAGTCAATCTCGATACGAGTAGTGCATTGGATGTTCAGTGTATGACATACCAAGTCGCATTGTATTCAAAGTATATGAAGCTCAGGTGATCTTCTTGTTCAAGAAAAGCATAGGCTTGATCTTCTTGTTCAAGAGAAGCATAGACTAAGTTTGCAAGCCAACAATTGAGCTGAAAGGATTATGATATGTAGCATCACTTACAAGCAGATAAAGACACTTTAGAGTTTCCCTTAGACTCGCGCTCTATTTCACCCAATCAAAGTTGATTGTACTCACCAACGTGCGACCAGTGTGGTATTCGGCAGTGATATTATCGATGACTTTTTCGATCTCATGGTTCAGTTCCTGTTGTATACAGGGAATTCCTTGGCCAAGTATGATGGAAGATACAAAACAGAGCACCTTAAATTAAACGATGGTAATAATGCATGCATATACGAACGTTGACTTACTACGAATACTGCTAGCAGACACTTCATAGCCCTGATGGAACTCCGCTTCTAGCACAAACCATTTTCTTTTATACTGTTGGAAAGCCTACTACAATTCATTCATGAAAGCCCATGCAAGTGTACTGCACAAATTTTCATGACCAGCCTGCGAGTTTAACCTTTTTTGTAGGCAGCCATCACTTTTTTAAAAATTAAGCTATTGAATCGAAATATGAAAAATTAGTAGCTGATTAGCTTATTGACTGCACCCTTTAGTTGGATTAATCTCTAGATTTAATGTGATTTAGTAATAATGTAGTGTAATTTTGCGTTACGTCATGTAAAATGTAGTCCTCATATTTTGATTTAGAAGTTCTTACTTACTAAAATCATGTGCATATTTCTATAATTTCTTCAAGAAGTCTTTGTAACACTTTACCGCACTCAAAATGGGCTCCACGCTCAGTCAAATCAGTAGATTTGTACTCTCTGATAACACATTATCTATCATTACAGAGTTCTGACACAAGGGAAAAATGGGAAAAGAAAACCACATCAGGTTTGGTGATTCAATGCAAGCCCGTAAAAAATCTAAAAACTGCTCAATAAATCGAAATTCGTCAGTGTCGTAAATTTTTCGACATCTCAATTTTAGCTGAATAAATTTTGTGCCTATCAAGCTTCTTGGAAAGATATGATTTTTGAAAACATCGGAAGCGGCAGAAGGGATTTTTCTGCATTTCCCTCAAATACCGTAAATAGAGAAAAGCTCGGCCAGCACAAATTTTGGTTGCTAAAAAAAGTTCAAAAATGTTAAGTTATTGTTTTAGATTTTATCGCACATCTTCGGATTTTTAACGGACTTGCATTATCATCGAACCTGAAGTTGTTTGATTTTCCCATTTTTATCTCTGCAGTCAAAGATTAGTGGAGTGCAATCGAAGCACTATTGAAAGTACATAAATCAATCATTCTAATGACAAAATGCCAAGAGAACATTGTGACAAAAAAAACTACGTTTTTTTTGAAAATGTGCAACTGGACTTTTTGTTCAACCTAATATATTGCAGCTCATTTTTCATTATCCTTACGCAATATCCTCATTAAGCACCTAAAATGACTAGCGGTTAGAGTGTATTAAATTATGTTTGGAATGTTCTGCCGAGGTACTGCTTCTGCTCTTTAACGATCGTTGCTCTTGACCTTTCTCTACTTTCACGTATGAACTTTTTTAGATTTTTTGCAATTGTCTGTTGCACATTCCAGTGAGTGAACCAGCTGATTTGTATTTTACACAAGGGAAAGTTTGTACTTCTACTGCAGTGCAGAGTCTGCGCAAGTGCCCTTCTGAAAGACTTCTTTCAAACTGCTCAATTGTCATTCTATTAATCTTGTGTGAGTTTTCGAGAAGCCTGAATCAAATGTGTATGCAAAAATAAAATAACTAAAGCTTGCATATCAAAGCTAGTTGCGATGAATCTTCTAAGCCGCGTTTGTCGATTCCTTTCGGGGTTGTTATATGATACTACATAGCGTCCTATTTGAATCTATTTCGAATAAGAATGCGCTAAGATTTCTTGCACACTAGTATGCAAACTTACCCTTTAGTGGCTACTAATCGTATTATAGATGTCAACATTGGAGGCAAGGCGCTAAACATTTCCAAAGCAACGATGAGGCTTTAACACATTCACGACGATACGACCCACCGGTGGGTCGTAAGATTCTCGAAGCCCTAGCTTGGCCAGTTTACGGTGAAAATTTTACGAGATTCTGGCACATGGTTGTGGACACTTTGGCGAAGCTCTGGCCAGAGTGGTCCGGGCTCAAGAAACTGTAATGTAATGTTACGGTAGATATATCGTAGATAGAGATAAGGCACAGACTTTAGCTCAAACTTTTCGCAGAGTGGTGCTGTTTCTGAACATTAAAGTGGACATGCACGAAATACGGGAAGGACAAGGCTGATGCTTAGCCCAGCGCAAAAGTATCGATTTTATTGATTTTGTTAAATTTTTGCATTGTTCATCCCAGGAAGCTCAAACCTTACATATACAGGTTTTGTAATATGCTGATTACGAAAATGGTAATCTCAAGTTCTAATACCGCCTTCTTACATCAGTTTCTGGACGGAAAACTCTACCGTACCGCTACCGTAGTCCCACTGTGGAAAAGTAGTGAATAAAGTGGACACTATATTCGTGATCAGCACGTAAAACAACAGCAAAACACGATTTTTCATGAAAATCAATGATGTTGGATTCGTACAGAATGACTACCGTAACCTTACCGTATAATGCCAAAAACTAAAATAAATCATGTTTTGAGAGTCAGCGCCTTCGATAACCCTTGTGGGGAAATTCTCGGAAACATGTTTTGAATATTTTCCAAAAATATAAAGACTACCATTTCGGACAATACACGGTTGGCTCATAAGTTTGACAAAGCGAAAAAGGCTCTCGTCCAAAAGGTCAGTAATCGAAAAATCGGCCTCTTCGTGAATGTATCAAAAACCTAAGTGCTAGTCCACGTTCACTAGAACTTTCGACAACATCAGTTCTATTATTGAAACACGAGTCGTATTAGCAAATGTCATGACAATGGTTGGGTTTCAATAAGAGGATCGCGGCGATTGTCTCACGGAACCGTTGCGAATGATATGATGTGGCATTCTTGGGAACGTTGTAAAACTCCTGTAAAATTTTTATTTTAACAAGATCAGAATGATCTTCATTGTAAGCAATATGCACTTTTATCTCAGTTGTGAAATACCAGGTATACAGATTGGTTCCACAGAGAAATGGGTGGTGTACATCGCAGAATTCTTCTCCAAAAGTGGTGCCATGAGTCTGGAAGAATGGAGATAAAAAGACGTACATATATGGCATGCTTTTTCAGAATAGAATAACAGTAATAAACTCGCCTTCGTAATGCAGTCAGAGTTGCCATTGTCCGAACAAAAATGAACATTAAGCACAGTATCTTGTCCAGTAATATTATATCTATAAAATAAGATTTAATGACAATTGTCAAGTATCTGGATATTGAGCTCGGGCAGACAGAGCTTCAGAGTGGCACTGTTCGTGCTGCTTTTAAACTCTAGTAAAGCTCGATATCCACAAAACATGGTATTTTTATGTTTGTCGATTATTGTACTTTAAGATAAACGAATTCATCGAACCTGTATCCGACGCAAAAAGCATAGTCTATCCATTCGGCATCACTTTTGTAATATGTACTATTTACTCCGTCAAATACAATATGTCTTAGCATTGCAGTTTTTTCCTCTGGTTTGACTCCGCTGTCTAAATGGGCTACTTTGAGAGCTTTCTTATAAATTGTCGAGAAAGCGTACAGCCTGCAGGTCGAGATGGTGGCTTCTTTTTCTTGCTTCGCGGTAATGCTGCTGGTTGAGGAAGGCTAACACTTCTTGGGTAGCGCTTTTCGCATCTAAAATAAGTACAAGCAAATAACTATTCCAAAAGACGGACATTATTCAAACCAATTCTCGTGGCACTCCTCTTTGGTCAAAAAGTTGTTTCCACTCTTGCCACAGCCAGTATAATAAAACCCTCTGCACTGTCTCGTTCTTTTGTTGAAGTAGTATCCATAAGTAAAAATCGAGCTTTCAACTGCTATCTCCACAGATTATCGGAAAATGTTAGAAAATAAGCGATGCATCGAACTAGGGTATTTTGGGGTGTCTCGCAGTAAACAGCGGTATCCAAAATTTGTAATTCGGAACTGGTCAAACTCTCCTAGATTAGTATCTCAGGCCAGTTGTCTAAGCAATCAAGAGCTTTCAGACAATTTGCTTGTTCGCTACGCTGTAAAATTTCGAGAAAGTGTCTTGAGATCCGCTCAAAACATACATTAAAGGCAGTGTCCGGGCAAAAAGTCGATTTTGAGATTTTGTGCTTACTTGGGTCTATTAGCTACGCTGGCTACAAAAATCCACACTGGAAAGCGCGAAAACGGCGAAAAAAGGCTCTAACGCGGGATGGAAATCAAAAGTGGGCGGGTCTTCCCCAGGGTGAATTTACGGTCCCAGCTCCCGAAGCGATCTTTTCGCTTCCGACTTCAGATCATGCATTCGCACTTACCTTGAGATGTCAGGGCGGTTAGTGGAATTGAAAAGATCGCTCTGAAAGCTGGGACCGTGAATTCACCTTGGGGAAGACTCCGCCCACTTTTGATTTCACTCCTGCGTTAGAGCCCTTTTTCGCCGTTTTCGCGCTTTCCAATGTGGATATTCGGATTCAGCCTAGGGAATAGGCCCGGGTAAGCACAAAATCTCAAAATCGACTTTTTACCCGGACACTGCCTTTAAGACGCTTTTTTAATAATCAAGTAACAACCAGGTATGCACTTAGTGTTACTCTCATGTATGTGACATATAAACAACTTATTGTTATGCACAGATCAAAAAATCAGCAAGGGTAGTGAGTGCTGGTGATGTTTGCTGATATATAAGTAAGGCGATCAAATTATGGTTACCCCAAAAATTTTCCAAAAATTGATAATTGGTGCTACCATGCTTGTTCTTATCCATACTTACCTACTAGACATCGCTTCACACCAGCTATCTCGATCAAGTGGTTCCATACATGGATCTGGAATAAAAAATACATAAAACATTAATTAGCATTGTCACAATTTTCGATAATGGAAATTATTCAAGTCAAGCTTTTGTTATAGCGGCATACCTGCATACCATATCTGAAGAAAAAATGCGGTAGAATTCACTACGCAACCTAGTATATCCCAAACAATTGAAACTTACTTCATTACGATTCTTGGAATGAGCGGCGTTATGATCAAAACGATGCAAATCAAGGGACAGTGCTAGAGGAGGCATAAATTGATGCTGAAGCCGAAAAAATGTAAGAATGTGAACATCAACCTGTCAATTATCAGAGGCGTGGTGAATATGCTTATGGGTCATGCGAAGTATCAGTTGGTCACAGAATTTGTAATGTTTTATCCACAATAAGTAAAAACACTTCAACTTTTTCAGTCATGTCGAATGTATAAAGGCTGAAAATTCC